GGCCCACAACCCCAGCATGTGCCCTGGCTGGGAATCAAACCTATGACTTTTTGGTTTGCAGGCTGATGCTCAGTCCACTGAGCCACACCAGCCAGGGGTCAATTTAAGGTTTTTAGTTTAGCATTTGCTAAGTATAGGCCCTTTTCTTATTGCTTCAGCACTAGTACTTCTCTAACATACATTTTTAAAATTGATTTTCAGAGAGAAACCCTGATTGGTCGTTCCACTTATTTGTGCATTCGCTGGTTGATTCTTGTGTGTTCCCTGACCGAGGATCAAGCCCCACAACCTTGGCATATGGGGACAGTGCTCTAACCAAATGAGCTACCTGGCCAGGGTCTCTCCTTAAGTATTCTGTTTGCTGATACTGAACTACTTGATCCCAGCTTCTGAATTTGTAAGGCTGTAGCTTTTTTACTCCCCTCTCCATTCCCCAGTAGTGTTGGTATGAGACAACCTTATCCCAACTAGTAGTTAGTTTACTTTTAAAGACTTAGTTCCTGTGGCTGTAGGTGCTGGGTATGGGGGGTTAGAGGATCATGAACCCTACCCCCCCAACTTAATGTAATTGAGAACAGGATAGTTGTGATTAAGTGCTACAGAATCAGATAAAGTGCACAGGTGAACCTGGACAAATTTTTTGTATTATTATATTTTCTCTAGAAGTGAAGTACTTCAAACTAGCTTTCTAAAGGTCTTTGAACTCTTGATACTGTGATTTAAAGAAGATGGAAGTTGTTATTCTGGATTAGTGGTTATCTGTTCGGGGGACCCAAAAATGAAGCTTGGCTAGAGGGGGAGACAGGGATTAATAGGGACCAATGAGCACTGATATCAGAAGGCACCTTTTGCAAGTTTGTGTGGGACTAGATTGAGGGAGCAGAATGCTGCTGAGACTGCCCCCTAGTGGGGGGTGAGTACAAAGACCAGAGGAGTGGCAAAATTGGCCCCTTTACTGGATTTTCTGAAAGGATCTTGCTACTGGGCTAGACTGTTGAACCAAAGCATCTTGACTGGAGCTTGCTTCTTCAGGCTCTGTTGGTCTCTGCTGCTTCCCATCCCACTAGAACAGACAGCTTTCTGTGTGCAGCCTTTTGTGGCTTATGGTAGTTAACATTTGAGAGCCTGTGAATACTAAGCACTTTTCATGAAGTACATCACATGTGTTGTTTATTTGACAAGTAACCCTACCTTCCTGTTTTTTTTTTCTTTTTTTTTTTTTCAAATTAAAAAAAAAGTTTTTTATTTTAGAGGGAAGAAGGGAGAGCGAGAATCGTCAGTTTGTTGTTCCACTTATTTATGGTTGATTCTTGTATGTACCCTGACTGGGGATAGAACCCACAACCTTGGCATATCAGGATGATGCTCTAACCAACTGAGCTACCTGGCCAGGGCCCTGGGGTTTTTTTGTTTGTTTGTTTGTTTGAGATGTAATTGATATAACATTAGTTTCAGGTGTGCTATATAATAATTTGTATTCATATAACCTACATTCCTGTTTTTAAGGACCAGTAAAACCAATACTTAAACACAGCACTTATTCATAGTAAAATGTTGGAATCAAAAATTAAAGCCCTTTTGCTTAAGGTAGTTAAAATACTAAAAAAGTTGTGTATAGGGCCTTCTGTGTTGGGGCCATTCTCTCATGCTGAGATTTTCTTTTTTTTTTTTTTTTCCTTAAAATATAAAAAAAAATATTTTACTTATTTATTTTTAGAGAGGGAAGGGAAGGAGATAGAGAGAGAAACATCAATGTGCGGTTGCTGGGGGTCATGCTGCAACCCAGGCATGTACCCTGACTGGGAATCGAACCTGCGACACTTTGGTTCGCAGCCCGCGCTCAATCCACTGAGCTACGCCAGCCAGGGTCATGCTGAGATTTTCATGGCTAGTGTCATTTTCTTCTTGGAGAGTCATGGTACTTCATTTGCGCTTGAAAGCTGGTGTATGTGGTACCCAAACAGTTCTGCTGGACTCCATATTATTATTATTACTTTTTAAAGATTTTATTTATTCATTTCTAGAGGGATAGGAAGGGAGGGAGAGAGGGAGACAGACATCATTGTGTGGTTGCCTCTCGAGAGTACCCCCTGCCACTGGGGACCTGGCCTGCAACCTAGGCATGTGCCCTGACCGGGAATTGAACTGGAAACCCTTTGGTTCACAAGCCAGCACCCAATCCACTGAGCTACCCCAGCCAGGACTATTTTATTTTTTTAATCTTCACCTGAGGACATTTTTTATTGATTCTAGAGGGAGAGAAGAGACATTGATTTGTTGCTTTTCTTTTTTTAAGATATTATTTACTTATTTTTAGAGAGATAGGAAGGGAAGGAGAAAGAGGGAGAGAAACATCAATGTGTGGTACCTTCTCACATGTCCACTACTGGGGACCTGGCCTTCAACCCAGGCATATGCCCTGACTGGGAATTGAACAGTAACCCTTTGGTCTGCAGCCCAGTGCTCAGTCCACTGAGCCATACCAGCCAGGGCTAGACAGAGGAATCTTTTGATTTCCTGTTAGCAGCTAGTACCAAACTTTTGACTGCCTGTGACCTGGTCTTTGCTTTTATGCTGCTCTTTGTTCCATGGAGCTTGTTTATGCTTAAGATCTGTGTTTTAACTCTTTGGTGCCACTAAAGACAGTAACCGTGTAGTAATCAAATGGGGATTTCAGGAAAGTAATGGCAGCTGGGCCTGTCATTTAGCACTTGTTCCATCCATACCTTGCTCCTAGACAGGTGGATGCAGTCTTGACATTTGAGGCTATTCCTTGGACTGAAAGGGTCTTCCCCTCACTTAAGTGAGATTTTTTTTTTAATCTTTACTGAAGGAAATGCTTATTGATTTTAGAGAGAGGGGAAGGGAGGGAGGGGGAATGGAGAGAAACATTGGTTGGTCACCTGCCGTATGTGCCGAGACTGGGGACTGAACCTGCAACCTAGGCATGTGTCCTGGCTGGTAATAGAATCTGTGACACTTTGGTTCACGGGAAGACACTCTAAGTGAGCCACACTGGCCAGAGCTGAGCAAGTGAGACTTACTGCTTTGTTATTGGTAACTGTATGTCTTTTAGAAGACAAGTAGTTAAAAAAAAACACACACACACAAAAAATCAGTGGAAAAATCAGCAATGGTCCCCTTGCCTCGTTTTCTTCAGATTAGCCAAATGAACATTGCTAGCTCAGGATCCTCAGAGGAGTGTAGGAAAAGGTTGAAGGCTGTGCTTTTTGCATGTGTGTGAAAGATTCAAACTCAGACCTTTTGCTTAGCAAGGGGTAGAAGGCAGGCTGCGTGCATGCAGGGCCTTCTGACTTAAAAGAACACTGAGGAGGAAGAAATAGCTAGTGTTACAGGTTTAAACAGCCCTGGCTTTGTCATTTATTTAGCTTAATTTTTTCTTGGGTATAGGGGCAAGTCATTTAACTTTTTACATCAATTTTTATTGTGGTTTTACAAACATATGACATAATTTGTCATTTTAAGTGTACAATTCAGTTGCATTAATTCTCAATTCACATTGTTGTGCATCCATCACTGCTATTTTCTGATCTTTTTCATCATCCCAAACATACTGAAACCATTAACCCAAAACTCACCATTCCCCTCTCCCTCCAGCCTTTGGTAATTTTTGCCTTGTGGCAAATTTACCTATTTTAGATATTTCATGTAAGTGAAGTCATACAATGTTTTTCCTTGTCTGGGCATATGTAGCATGAATCAGATCTTGTATACCACATTTTGTATATCCATCTGTTGATGGACACAGGGTTTTTTACCTTCGGGCTATTGTGACTAATGCTGCTAGAATATTGGTGAACAGGTGTCTGAGTACTTGTTTCTAATTATTTTGGGTAAATGCATAGGAGTGGAATTGCTGGGCCATGTTTAGCTTCTTGAGAAACTGCCAAAGTTTTTCATAGCAGCTATACCATTTTATAGTCCCACCAGCAATACCAAGGGTTCTCTATATCCTTACCAACACTTATTTAGAATTTTTTTATACCATAACCATCCTAGTAGGTGTGGTAGCTGATTGTGGTTTTGATTTGCATTTGCAATGTTAAGCATATTTTCATGTGCTTATGACTATTTGTGTATCTTTGGGGAAATGTCTATTATTTTTCTGTAAGTTGGGTCTAATGTCATTCTTTTGCATGTGGAAATCCAGCTGTCCCAGCACCATTTTTTGAAGAACATGTAAGCTTATTTTTAAGAATAGTGTATTGGAAGCATACATAAAATTGCAGAGGACATGAATACACATTTATCTATTGTCTGCTGTTAACAGTTCTTGCCTTATATACTTTATACAGGTTATTTTTAGAACAGAGGATATAGTTGAGGCTGTTGCTTAATTTTTTTAAATTAAATTTCAGCCCTGGCCAGTTGACTCGTTTGGTTGGAGCATCATCCCATACACCAAAAAGTTGTAGGTTCAGTCCCCAGTCAGGGTACATATAGGAGGCAGCTGATTGATGTTTCTCTCCTTTCCTCTCTCTCCAAAAACATAACAAAACAAAAAAAATGTATGCTCAGGTGAGTTAAAAAAAAACTAAATTTCAAGTGCTGAATCAATATGTAATCAATTATATGTAATAGTAACAGGGCTATGGTGAAGATTAAATGGCATGTTTGTTGTTAGCCTTGCACTAAAAGGCTGAATGATCTAGACTAGTAGGTTAGATTTCCTGGTGCTTCAGTGATTTAGCCCCTTTAGGACTCAGATTTGGTTTTGAGGCATCCATTTGTCCATGGGAGGAGGGCGGAGGATGGAGCTCACTGCTGAGCAAATTATTAACTAATGGTAATGTTCTCTTACAGTGTGCCCAGCTGGCTGGAAACCTGGAAGTGATACCATCAAGCCTGATGTCCAGAAGAGCAAGGAATATTTCTCTAAGCAGAAGTGAGCACCGGGCCATTATAGGGTCATGGCGGCAGTGTACAGCCATGAGAACAAAACCTCTCTTTTACTATTGTCATGCTTAAAACACAAGATCTTAGATTTAGGCCAGATGTGGTCTGGGATAAAACAGGCCTTTCCTGCAGGGTTTGGGGAGGCCAGCCTTTCTTTTTCTGGAGGAAATGACCTGAACATATGAAGCAGGCCAACTGACGTGTACAGTAGTGGGGCATCACCATTCTTTGTGTAGTTTCTATTAAACTTGAACTGAGACCTTGTCGTTTGTTTATTTTAGAGGGCATTAGCCTTTGATTTACTCTTTGCTTTCCTTAGGGGAAAGTGAGATGTGAGAGCTGCTTCAGAATCAGGAAATTATAGAGGGGGAATGCAAATAGGGAATGGAACTAAACCAGGATATTAACATTTTGTTTCACTATATTTGGGGAAAGAGCAAGACCTGCTGTGGTGTTGGCCATAGCCCTTCAGTTTATTTTATAGGCTGCATTGTAGATTACAGCTCCAGTGACATTGATTTCGTGGGCATTTACCCTTTACACTATTGGGAAAGCTGCATGAGAACCTGAAGCTTGGCTTCGTCTGATAAAAGCCTGCTACTGGTTCTGTAAAAGATCAGAATTAGAGGTTCTGTACCTTTGGAACAGAAAGGGGGAGAAGACCTAGCACATGGGCTGGTGTTTGTAGGGTAGGACATATGGTATCAGAAGCACAGGGTTGAATCCTTCTCACTTTCCCTGGGTTCTAGGGTTGCTTTGAGGGTAGCCCTTTTTTGGGCCCTCGTCATTGTCCTGAGGTAGTGGTGAGTGTTGGGATGACTCCTGGGCCCTTGTGGTTAGGGCAGATTCAGAATGGAGAATACTTCAGTGTGTGCTAATGGTGATCTTCCGGACACTTGACTTTCATCAGCTATCCTCAGCCTACTGATCCCTTCAGTATTCTATACTGTGAACAGCAGTGCAGGATTCCCAGGGCCTTCAGTAACAGGTGACATACTGCTTACTGTAATGCTAAGCATTGTTTCTAAAATGCATTACAGCCCTGGTCAGCTTGACTTGGTTGGAGTGTCATTCCAGAATTGAAAGGTTGTTGGTTTGAGTGCGGATCAGTGCACATTCCCTGGTTGCAGGCTCAGTCCCCAGTTGGGGTGAGTGCAGGAGACAGCTAGTCAGTGTTTCTTTTCATGTCTGATGTTTCTCCCCCATCCTCTCTCAAATGAGAATAAACATTAAAAAACCTTACTCAGCCCCTAAAACAACACTGAGACACTTTATGTTTTTTTTTAGGTTTTTATGTTAAGAGGGGAAGGGAGGGAGAAAGATGTAGAGAGCAGACTCGTTGCCTCTTGCATCCCTCAAACTGGGGGCCCAGCCTATAACCCAGGCATGTGTTCTGACTGGGAATGAAACCAACAACCTTTTGGTTCTCAGGCTGGCACTCAATCCACCAAGCAACACCAGCCAGGGCCAGAGACATTTGTACCATTACTTTGAGGATTATTGCCCCTAAACTATCAAGTAGCATCTTGCAGCACTGCAGAGCATACATTCCAAAGCAGATAGGAATTCTGGATCTGCCGGCCCCGTCCCATTGAAATAATTAGTTGACTTGGTCTTAGATTTCTTGACAAAATGTCTCTAAGCCATGTTATCTTCATTGAAGATCTCTACTATAATTCTTTTATCAAAAGTAATTTACCTAAAATAAAATCTATGCCTTGCCAAAAGTCCTAGCAAGTACCACTAGTGTAAATAGGGATCCCATGGGGAGCAGGGGAGGGGAGAGGATATCAAGGACCAGGAGTTGCAGGTGGTGAGGCCCTGGGGCTGAGCCACCCTTGGGTTCTGCTGGGATTCTGAGGCTTGTTGGGTATGAGTGTGGTCAAGAGAAGCTCTGGGGATGAAGAGCTAGGCTGCTCTGAGGGTTGGGCCAAGCCCAACAATGCCAAGCGTTGGGCAGGTGGTGTGGAAAAGTAGGCCTTCTGTTCTTCTGAGTAGCGCTCCTGAGGTGTCACAACATCCCTGTATGCCCAGTCACGCCAGTGAAAATTGAAGCCTTCAAGCAGGGCAATTCGGTCAGCTCTTGCTGGTACACAGTCGAGGGGTTTAGTGGGTGGCAGATCTGGCACCTCTACTCCTGGCAGCAGCACTACCCCTCGAATGGCAAACCAGCCCCCAAATCGGGGATGTATGCACACACCTGATATATGCTGGGGAGGGTAAAGAAAAGTAAGGTCACGAGTGTCACCTTGGCACCAAGTTCAATTACCATCAGTGCAACTAAGCTTACTCATTTGTTACTCAGTGGACAGTGACTTCACATGTGAACCTATAGCTGGGCAACCTTTTCATGAACCTTTTCTGGCCATGAGGAAGAGTTTCGGAAGCTAAGCATCAGCTTCGAAGTCTCGGCACTGATCTAATCACTGCTCTGCCCCCTCCATTTTGTAACAGGGTTTTACAGACTAGGTTCTCGGACGTGGTGTCTCAAGGTGGGACTCCCAGAAAGCACATGGGGCTGGACCTCTGGATTGTGCTACAAACTCCTTTTCCCATGGGAGGTGGAGGAACCTGAGACCTGGTATCTTGATGGGCCTTGACCATTTTCTGTCTCTAGTCATTCATACTAGAACTCTGACCTGGGTTCCCCAGGGGTCAGCCTCTACATCCTGTCGTCGGTAGAAGTAAGCAGCCCCTGCCACATGAGCTGCTGTCTGGGCCAGAATCTTGGGGCGCCGGTTGGGGTGTACCTCGTAGTCAGCGATGACTTCCATCTGCAGCTCTGGGAGGCTCTGGGATAGAGGACAAGATGGAGGCTCCTTTCAGCATGAGAGGAATCATGACTTGTCCTAGAGAGCCCTAATTCCTGTTAACATGGTCCAGTCCTCAGAAGTGATGTTTGAAGGGAAAACATAACCTTAAATTTGGGGGAGGTGCTCCAGTGTGAAGAAAATGATATTCTGTCCAAGAGGGCCCATGTTTGAAGGTCTTGCTCAGAAACCTCCATAAGGGGTGACTTGGCTCTGCCCTTCAGAGTACCAGTGTATGTGTATATATGGAAGCATGTACATGTTGAGTGTGTGGTGGGGAAAAACTGTTTTGTCCTCAAAAGGCCCCAAAGGCAGCATAAAGCTTCCAGGTTAGGGTAAAGATAGGTGAGAGATGCCTGGGGGATGTTGGGCTTATTTCTATTTCACTTGGAGGTCAAGGAAGTCTGGTCTGAAGTTCACAGAGTTGCCCATCAGGGTAGGATAAGAATGATTTCAGACCTGGGGGGTTGCTAGAGGAAGGTGGCTGAACCTGGACTGAGCAGGCAGAACAGGGATAGATAGTAGTAATGTCAAGGTTGGCTTTAGGATATCCTAAAGGTCTAGATACTGCACTGAACTTGGAGGAGCTTGAAGCAGTTGCAGACTGGGGAAGCTGGAGGAGGATATGAATGTGGCTCACCTCTCTAACGCGGCCCAGATGGTAGGCCACACACTGGTCCACAGGGTCAGTCAGTGATTGGAGGTGGCAGCTCTGCAGGAAGGGCTTGAGGGCCCGGTCAAACATGGCAGGTGTGCTGAGTACCAGGAAAGCCAGGGTAGGTCCTGGCAGGTGTAGCTGGAAGGCTGGAGGTAGGAGTGCATTGTACCATGCCACCTGGAACAGAAAATTCATACCTTAACCTGGCATTTAAGGCTTCATATATATTTTTTCTTTCTTTAATTTTTATTTTAATTGTTCAAATACAGTTTTCTGTCTTTTACTCCCATCCCAGCCCACCCCCTGACTTCATATATTTTGCCCCAGCCTCCAGCTCATTCACTGAATCCTTGAATTTCTACTGATGATCTGTGATGTGTGTTTATGGAGGACTTGCCTGAATTGGACAGGATGTTTAGAATACAGAGGCAGAGAACTCTTGAACAACTAGGAACAAAAAGAAATTGATTGCACTGTGATTGGTGTAATGAGAGGGCCAGGTGAAGGTCCTCTGAAATCAGAAAAGGCTTCTTGGAAGCTGTGTCTTTAAGGCTGAGAAGCAAGCCGACAGGTTGATATGGGGAGGAAGAATCTCGTGTATTCTAAATGGAGGGGTTAGCATAAACAAAGAGAGGTGAAAAGTACAGGGCATATTTGGAGAATAGCAAATTGTCTAATTTGATAGAAGTAGAGGGTTTGTAGAGAGAAGCAGAGGGAGAGAAAGGCTGAAGAGAGCAGTAGGAGAAAGATTGGCTTTGAATATCAACTTAAGGAATATGGGTCTAATTTGGTAATAACACAGGGCCATTGAAGATTTAAGGAGCAAACTGACTTGATCAATTTTGAGAAAGATTAATCTGGCTGCAGTATGGAGGACAGATTGGAGGCAAAATGACAGCAAGGAGTCTACTGAAGTAAATCTAAATAAGAAATGGCCTGGACCAGAGCATAGATGTGTTGGATGGAAGAGAATGGATTTGAGAAATTCGGAGATGGATTCCTAAAGGTCCTTGTAGCTGATTGGATGTGGGGTTGAGATAAGTAGGAGCCTAGAATGTCTGGCAGGTCTTCAGTACAATAGCTCCAACTGCCCAAGTCCACCTGACCCACCAGATAGCATCCTTACTGTCCCCCATACCTGCTACCTACCACCTCCACGCCTGTACTCAAATTGTTCCAGATATTTGGGATGTATATAACCCTTTTTCCTTCTAATCTGTTTTCATATAAAGCTCAACTCTATCTTTTCTGGAAAGTCCTCTCTCTCAAACTCGACCAAACTTACCCCTCCATCTACATCCTCTGCCAGCACTGCTATGGGCCACTCAGTGGAAGGGGTGAGAATAGCCTGTCTCTTAAACATTAGGCAAAGGGCTCACTGAAGCTACATAGCTCAGTGCAGGAGGCACTGGATATGGAGGAAATGGACTTATGTAAACAAAGGAAAGTTGTGGAGCCAGACTTCTGTGTAATTCAGGTAGAGTTTATATAAACAGCCCACTGCTAGCGACTGGCAACATCGTGAATTATCCTTCTGCTGGTGGGTAGAACAAACTAGCCAGTTGTTTGCTTGCTGAACAACAGAAATGTCCTTTCCTTCTCAAATGTCCTAGACCCTAGCCATGCAAACGTTCCAAGCCTCGCTCTCTCCTAACTCCTTCAGGAAACTTCCAAAGTGACCCTGGCCCCAAGGGTGCCTTTCTTCCCGTCAATTATGTAAGTGACAGAGCTCAAGGTCACTGGATCATATGGTGTCTCTCATTAATCAGTCCGGCACTGTCTGGGGGTAAAAGGACAAATATGCAACTGCTCCTACCTACCCAAGACCCCTTTGACAATGTCCTAGTAGATCGGATGGACGCGGGAACAAAGGAGCTCGGGAAGGATCAGAAGGCTTCCCGGCCTCACGCCACTATCACCGCGACTAATACACCTCACCCTAGAATCGCAGGAAAGATAAACCAACCTGGAAGGGGTAAACCTCGAAGCCAAAAGGGCACAACGTGTTCTCAATTTTCTGCTTCAGTTCTGTGACTTGAGGGTCCATGCTGAACGCTACACGCCAAGCTTGCTGGGAAATGGAGTCTCATAGATAGCCTGAGTCGTTAACTTTCAGGGTAACTTGGACTTCATTTCCCAAAAATTTGTGGGACGCATAGCGGGACTCTGCACGATGCATACTGGGATACGTAGTTCATTTGGTCCTCAGAAACAACCACTGTAGAATCAGAAAGACTAGGTTTCCCGGCAAGCTCTATGGTAGGGGTGTGACTGCACGTATTGCCTCCATGGAAACGTAGTTCTGTAGCCAGATTCAAGGGTTGTCCCCGCGAGAAGCGAACTCCGTTTCCCAAGTGGCGCTGCGGCAATTAGTCGAAAGTCGGTCTTTCCGGGTCTGCTGGAGGCTTTGAACCCGGAGGCGGCAGTAGTACTGGCATAGGTTCAATGTGATGGGGACAGTATCCTGTGTTTGAGGAGGTCCCGACCAAGATTCGGCACCTTCAACTCCCTCCTGATGTGTCCACATCAGGGTATCCTGTTTCCCCCCCAGTTCCCCAAGAACGCCTTTCCCCTGTCTAGTCCCAGAGGCGCAGTTTTGGTTTGATATTGCGTCCTTATCCTTAGTATTCACTATTTCAATCTGATATTGTGGCCTTTCCTGTGCTGTGCGTCGGTTACCCCGTGCTGGGAGAGTAAAGGCACAAGACGCCAGGGAAACAGCCCCCCGCTGCAGGCTATGAGTAAGAGTCTGAGCTGGTCCGAGCAGCTCGACGCGCTTCTCAGTGCTACTGATGGAAATGTGGCCAGGATTAAGGTAAGGGGAAGTGAGGACCCCGGTTTGGGAATGTGGGATAAAGGACTCCGATATCATTGAACATGCACTTAATTAATTAATTAATTAATTTATTTATTTATTTATTTATTTTGTAGCAGAGGTTGTATCCCCCTGGAGTCTCTGCTGCAGGTAAGTATTGCTTCTTTTCCTATCCCCTTTCAGGATCTCTTTTCCCCTTTCAGGAAGATCTCTTTCAGGGTCTTCCTTTTCCAGCACCTGTACCATCCACTCTTCCTTCCAAGTGTCCACATATTTTCTTTCTTGAACAAAGATCTGTACCCTGTCGTCCCACCCCCAAGTCTTCTTTCCTCAGCAGGAGACCTTACTGGAACCTGGATTTCCCCTCATCATTTGCCTCTCCAATCAGGAACCCAAGCTCAACAGCCTTGGGCTCTAGAGACTCCTATTGTGCCGGAGAGACTGAGTTGGGCTGAGGCCCATAGCACATCTCTCAGGGATGAAGTTGCTATTCTCAGATCCCAGCTTCGATCCCAGGCTCAGGTGAGGCTTGAAATCCTAGGCGAAAAAGCCTTCTTTTTCTCCCAGTACGTGTATGTATGATGTTGTGTGAGAAGGGTACCAAGGTTGGGGAAGCCCCTTACCCAGTAGCTCATGTGGTTTTCTGCCTGGGTAGGTGACTGAGGCACTAAGGCAAGCTGTGCAGGGCCTGGTGGAAGAGCAAGAGCAGCAGAAGTACCAAATTTGTGCCCTGGAAGGTATCTGCCCAATTTATTTCTTCATACACAAAGCCTTCTACATATGCAAACAATTTTATTGCACACCTGTTGTGTGTGCATTTGCATCTTGATTTGAAAGTGGAGTCTCTAGGCTCATGTGAAGCTCTTAGAGGAGTTGATCCTCCAACTTGTCCCATTATAGCATCACTAAGGTTGCTGCAGGGGGGCCCAGAGCGGAAGGCTCTTCTTCTGGAGCAACGCCTGGACAGGCTGAGAAGGGAACTGCAGGGTCTTCGAATCCAGGTGCAGGAACAGGCCCAAGCTCAGATACAAGCAGGACCACAAAAGTGCAGTGCTACCAGTGGCCTTCACCAAGAGCTGCAGAATGAGTAAGTGATGGGCAAGACTTCCCCTTCAGGACTTTGAATTCCTGGTACTCTGGTAGCCTCCTCTGGGCTTGTTGATTGGCTTTAGATGGACTGCTGTCATCCCTGTAGGAGGCAACTGCTATGGGAGGAGTCAGAGATTTTGAGGGAGGAACTGAAGTTGCTGCGGGACCAGCTGAGTAAGTAAAAGACTGGAAGAGGGTATGAGTTCACCTGTTCCCTTTTCTGGAAAACCTTCTTTGCCTCCCAGTAAGTGGCCATAGCTCTAACTGCTTGAGCTGCTTAGCAGTCTGGCGAAGTATTTGGTCTTGCCTCTAAAGGTATGAGTCTACTCTCCCTAGTCAGCTTGGAAGCTTCCTCTTATCTGGACCAGCATGCTTATATCTCAGTTCAGCACCAGATTGGGCACAAGGCAGGGAGGGGGAAGGAAAGAAGTTGGAGAACAGCTTTCTTACATTTTCTCTCATCTGCAGCCCAGCATCAGGAGCTGATGCTGAAACAGATGGCTGAGGGGCGGCAAGCTCAAGCCCGCAGCTGGAAGGTAGGACCAGTGTTGGACCTATCCCTTCAAATCTCCCTGTGAAGGCTCCTTCCTTTCTCTGTCCTGTTCTGCAGGCAGGCCAGGATACCCTCTCCTACCCCTATCTCTTTCTCTTCCCTGTGATGACTCCACCTCCCTTCAAAACCCTTCTTCCCAAGCCCTCTGTTCCAGGCCATGAGAAACTGTCCTTGCCACTAAGGGTTCCATGTGTGTTGAAGAGGCCCATTATGGAGAGGCGGGGAGTGTTTCTCCTGGAGAGGGAGAGGTTTGGTTCTACCTGGCATCATAATCTGGCAGATGTTGGAGCAGTTGCAGAGTGGCCAGGAGGGCAAGGAGGCTGCCAGGATAGAGGCCCAGGATGCCCGGCGGGACCAGGACCTCCTCAGGTCAGGGAGTGTGAATGCCTGTGGCAGTGGAAGGGATTTGTTTCACAGAGGCCAGGCATTGGGGTCCAAAGTTTAGCTATCCTATATATGACTTGGGCCAGTAGGGGCAGTAGGAGTATTTGGGATATAGTCCATAAGGGAACTACTGAGCATTCTTTATGTGATATGGAGTCATTGAGTATCTTTATGCGTTTGGAGGATAAAGTTCTGGCCTCAGAAGGAGGACAGTTCTATGCTGGAAGGGCCCCCTTGACCCACCATCACCATTTCTGCCTCTGATTTTGTTTCCCTTTCCAGGACTTCCGTCCACGTCCTCCAGTCTAAGCTACCCCTAGCTGCCACCTTTGCCACATCTCTTCCTTCATCTAGCTCTGAAGCCATTCGTGAAAACAGTAACAGTAGCTGGGAACTTTTAAGGAAGCTAGGTGAGGTTAAGGGCAGGGAGTCCAGTTCTGGGGGAGGCTAAATCTGAATGGTGCCCAAATGCCACCTGAGTAATTGGCACCAGGTAGAATGGGGTCTCTGCCTCTTTGTGAGTCCATCAACCACTTTTGCTACTTATCCCAAGTCAGGTCTGTATTTCTCTCCGTATCAGACAGGTCCAGGGCTTAGTTCTGTGTATCACAGTGTTTGCTGATTTTTTTTTTTCCACCTCTTTTTCTTTTCTCTCCTCTTAGATCTCCAGAAGAGCACTCTTTCTAACCTGGGACCCAGCAACTTTCAGCTTCAGGCCCAGAGCATTGAGCAGGAGGACCTGTCCTTTAATGGCCCCAAGATACTCCTGAGTGACCTGTAAGGACTTGGAAGAGTAGTAAGATAAAGACTTCTTTGCTCACCTTCCCCTCCAGAAACAAGGCCTTGTTTCTGGGCTCCCTGCCCTTCCCCTCTTGATCCAGCTGGTATCTGCCCTCCCTAGTGAGGCTTGTCACTGCTTGTTCACCTGCCCACCAACTGCAGTAAAATGGTTTAACTCTCCCTGATGTGTTTTCTGTGAATCCACATCCACATGGGATAGACTCAGCTGTACCTTTTCTTCCTGTAACATGATTGCTTCTTGCCACTGCTTTGTCTGAAATCTAAGTTAAAGACATTTGTAACTGTACCTTCTGAGTTCAAACTCTGTGCTCAGTGAAACTTGGACAGAGGTGGGAGCTCCCATTCTGGTGGGTAGAATGAGGTAGGACAAAGCTCTGGGGCAGTACTGCTGTGGGAACACAGAAGCAGGCAAGACACTCTGGTTGGCCATGGGTGTGGGCAGTAGGAGGCTTTCTCTTCTTGTCTCCAGCTTCTGCTCTTGAGGCTCACTCCTGCCCTTTCACACCTCCTCATTCTTAGCAGCCCAGCCTACATTTCTGTAGCAGTCTACTCCCTGGTCATTCTTCTTTCAATCTCTCTGCCTCTAATCCAGTGGCTTTCAGAATTTTTCGACTGTAACCTCCAGTAAGAAATAGTTTACATTATAGCTTAGTAAGTACATATGTGTATATTTATTAACTGAAACAAATTTAATGATTTAATACTTACGCTTACTAGGAGTGATGCACTTTGGTATTTCCCATTTCATTAAAAAAATGCTTTGTGGCTACTGGTTCCGATCCTTACACCATTGGGTTGCTCTTTGGAAGATATATCTTCCTAGGTAGACTAAGGGAAGCATTACTTTCTTTTTACCTGGGCTTTGTATTCTAGATAGGATTTTGGTAGTAACAGTATTGCACTGAAGCTTCATGAGATCTCTTCCATGGCTGAATGTAGCCAAAAGATAATGCCATTAATCAAAGTGGATGTTTATTGAGCATAATACATACCAGTTCTGGTATATATTTGCCTTGAGCTAAGGTGTGCAATGGGCTCATTTAAAGGTCACAGCTCTTAGCTCAGTCCAGTTGGGAAGAGGAGACGGTTATTTGAAGTAAAAGCATCATAAAAGGCTGATGGCAGGAACTACTGCCTTTATGGGGTGCATTCAAGGCCTTGGCATAACAGATCATAGAGAGTGACCTTTGACACCTGAATAAAGCAATCCTTGGTTCTTACCTTTCAGCATTAGGGAGATTGCTGAGAGTGGAATTGTAGAGACCAGGCCTAGGACAAACAGAACCTGTTTACTTGATCTTAGCTAAAAGGTTGAGAAGTGATCAAACAGCCTGTTAAAAAACAAACAAACAAAAAACTTCCCATCAAGGCTCATCTTTCTGCTGAACCAGGTATATGGAACCCCTAACTTTTATTAATTTATTTTTTAATTAAAACATATTTTAGAGAGAGGAAGGGAGGGAGACAGAGAGGGAGATAAACATTGATGTGGGAGAGAAACATTGATGTGAGAAAGAAACATCAATTGGTTGCCTCTGATATGTGTCCCATCTGGGGCTGAACCAGCAACCCGAGCATGTGCTCTGACCAGGAATCTAACTGGCAACTTTTTGCTTTGTGAGATGATACCCAACCAACTGAGTCACCTGGTCAGGGTAGGAACACCTGACTTTTAAATCTTTTATTAGTCAGGTCATACATCTGGCATGGTGGCATCATTCAATTCTACTTGCTACCAGTACTCTACTTACTCATTAACTACTTTGTATTAGAATGTGGGAGACAGGTTTGCAAGGGTGCCAAAGCTATAACAGCAGAAACATTTAATGACTATGTGGAACAGTGGTATTTGAACTGTCACCAGGTGGCAGCACATGACTTGTTTCCAGAAGAATAATACAGAAAAGGCTTTGGGCCAGGGGGACCAGGCTAGGGTGCTCTCTTTTTTCCCTTTAGAGAGCCTGTGAACTAACAATTAGTCTTCCTAAAACTCTCCTGTTGAGGCTTCTGTTCTGCTAGGAATCTTTTATATACAACATAAAAAAAGAAAGGACAAATTTGGCATTGAAGCCCAAGCCACATTCTTTTTTTTTAGATTTTATTTATTTACTTTTAGAGAGAGGGGAAGGGAGGGAGGAAGAGAGGGAGTGAAACATCAGTGTGAGAGAGAAACTGCCATCAGTCGCCTCTTGCACACCCAGAAGTGGGGACCTGGACCACAACCCAGGCATGTGCCCCTGACTGGGAATTGAACCGGCGACCTTTCCATTCACAGGCCACCGCTCAATCCACTGAATCACACCAGCCAAGGCTAATTCACATTTTTAAGTCCTACCACACATCTTTTAAAAACTTTATTGCTACCAGGAATGTATACCACCTATATCCTTATCCATGGGGAGTATGTTCCAAGACCCCAAGTAGATGCCTGAAATTACAGAGTACTGAATCCCATATATACTATGTTTTTTACATAGTGTACCTACATACATACTATTTTTTACATACATACCTATAATAAAAAACTTTAGAAATCAGGCACAGTAAGATTTTCAACTAAAAATAAAGTAGAATAATGACAATATACAGTAATTAAAATTATGTGAATGTGGTCCCTCTCAAAATATTGTGATGTATTCACATTTTTTGTGAGATGATGAAATGCCTATGTGAAGAGATGAAAAGAGGTGAATGAGACATTAAGAGTTAGTTTACCTGAATGCAAGCAATGGCAACATGACAGTTGGAGTAGCTACTAAGTGACCAGCCAGCAGGTGGGTAGCATATACAGCATGGATATGCTGGACAAAAAGGGGTGGTTCACATTCCAGGTGGGATGTAGTGGGACTACACGAGATTTCATCATGCTATACAGAATGGCTGCAATGTAAAATCATGAGTTGTTTATTTCTGGAATTCAGACTGCAATTGACCATGGGTAACTGAAAACTACAGAAAGTGAAACCGAGGATAATGGTGGACTACTTATTCAAATTCCACTCATCTTGACAGCGAGTCTAAATATGTAGGAAAGGTGATCTCTAACCCTAGGGAATGCCAGTGCAAGAAGGCCCATATTCCACTGTTTCTTTGCCTGTTCTTGCCTTCCATTTTTTTAATTATGTATTTTTAGAGAGGGTAAGGGAGGGAGAAAGGGGGGCAGAAAAACATCAATGTATTGTTGCTCTGGTTTGTCCCCCACCGTGGACCTGGCTGGCAACCCAGGCATGTGCTCTGACATGGAATCCAACTGGGGACCCTTTGGTTTGCGGGTGGCACTCAATCCACTCAGCCAAAACGCTAGGGCCCCTTCTAGAAGCCCTAGACCTGTTGTAGTCTGCTCAGTCATAAGATTGAGGGCCTGAGGTCCAGGCATATGAAGAAAGCATGAAGAAATATGTGCCTGTTGAATAGCTGAATAGAATTTTATTCTCTGCCCAGCTCTTTCAAAATCCTGTTTTCAAGCCAGCTAAAGTGTTACTTCCTTCAAGAAGCCTTCACCAGAACTAATCTCTTAGCCTAGCTTAATTACTCCGTCAGCATTTGGTTTAACCCTACGCACTGCTGCTACTATCTTAAGTCGTTGATACAGTTAATTGTTTATGTAACAGTTTTCCTCAGCCAGTATACTGAGATCCTGAAGGACACTGCGTTCACAGGACTTGTCCATAAATAGATAGTCTTACTTAACTATACCTTCACCACCCCAAAAGCCGCGCTAGTCTAATCCATTTCCTTCTGGGTTTGTCAATTACTACTAGTTTATATGTTTGGAGTTTTGATTGGTCCATTTTGTGTTTACTGTCCCGCCTTCTGCGAGGCTCCTGGACTTGGGGTTCCACCAGGTGCAATAGCTCAGCCTCTGTACCTCCTTTCCAACACACTGCCTCTTCTGTTTTTACCCTCACTTCCTTCCTATTGGTTTCCTTCGTCCTCTAGAATTGGCGCCTAGGGCTGTTGATTGGCTTTTCTGGACGCCCATCGTGCCCACCCTCATACCACGTGGCATTCCTGACTCTAATTGGGCAATTCCATCAGCTTGCTGATTAATAATTGACTAGTGGGAGGGCTCAAGGAGGGCAATGCTCACTGAAGCCCCGCCCCGTCTCCTCCGACCCGTCGTTTCAGTTGCTGGCGGCAGGGGACTCCAGCTGGTCTTCCATCTGCTCTCTCTGGCTCGCGGGCCAGATCGTCTTGGTCCCGCCAAACGGGCCAGGAGGAGTGGTCCCGAGTGCCGGGCCATGGCAGTGGACTCCTGGCTCTCCGCTGCTGCTTGCCCCGCGGAATCGCTGGCTTCTGTGCGAAGGACCCCCACCACCTCCGCAGGCTAAGAGCCACTGCCGCCTCAGAGCTGTGAGAGCTACTATGCTCCCTCTTTGCCGCCGCTTCCCCTTCTCACTCGCCCAGGCACCCCTCTGGCTGCTCGGTCCACCTCAGGTAACGCCGAGAGAGCGCGTGGGGCGCAAATCTGGGGCGCTCCAGCCGTGCGCGCGGCCGCTACACCCCACTCGGCTCCGGAGCACTGGCGCTCGAGTCTCTCGGCGCCGATGGGACCTTTTCACTTCCCAGAGGCGCTCCTCTCAGCGGTTGGGGACGTCCCTCGACCCCTTCCCCTTCCCATCTCACTTTCCTCAAGGTCCCGCGACAACCCCCACCCCAACCGCCTCATCTTCTCAGCCCTGGAGGCCTGCAACCCGTTAGAAGTTCCTTCAAATCGTGGACCTGGCCCCTGACTCCTTTCAGGGACTTTCCTCACTTCAGAAACTCAGGAATCCTTAATTTCCTCAGAGAACCGTTTCTGAGACCTCCAACTCCACTCTGAGAGCCTCCTCGTCTCATTACACCCTCCTCCCTCAGAGATTTTGGCCTCCCTCACTTCACTCCCCTCAAACTTACCTTCCCTGGAAACACCCTCTTCTACCCTGGAAAGAAAATTCCCTCCACTCAGACACTCCTGCCTCCCTCTCCTCTTTTTCCTCCCTGTGTCCTTTTTCACTTCCCTCCTCTTCCCTCCTCTGCCTTTTATCCTTTGCTTTGGAGACTCTGGACTAAGCCAGTATTCAGGTTTAGCTAGAAGTGGTATTCCGGTTTGTCTGATTTAAAAACCTTTCAATTTATACCGCTGAGAAAACCTTGCTGAAGAATTTGGACTTTATTCT